GGCTATTAGTAAAACACGGAGCACGGAGCACGGAGCACACAAACTACGGAGCAGTAGAAAAACGAAAATCCTTTATAATAAAATACACTGTTTACTACAAATTTTTATTACAAATTTTTGTTCTTATTAATAAAGTTTTTTCGCGTTTTACACGTTGAGGAAGTAGAAAAACGGGGCTTTTACTGCACATATGATGCAAAACTGCCAAAAGCCATAGTATTTAAAATAGGATTGTGCCTGTGAAACTCGTCACATATCTATCAAGCTTATGAGTTATGTAGTTATATCAGTATATTCCGATGGCCAACGCATTAAGAAACACTTAGAGAACAGCCGATATATTTCGTTACCCCTGCCAAAAAATAGCCAAGTACTGATCATCTTTCAATGTAGCGGATCGACTGAACATTATAAAAGCTTGTCATGGAGAGAAGTGAATTTTCGGTTTATCCTTCGTCCCAGTGAGCAGTGTGCTGTACGGCCTACGCCGGTTTAAACCGTTATACATAATTACTGCTTTCATTCTTTCAATCCGTTTTGAATATTCGGAATCATTCACTATTATATTATAAAACTGTATAAGATAGCTGTAGAACTATAAATGCTGTAGAATAAAATAAATAAAGAAAACTACGTTTTATCGCGGTATTTGCCGATAAATCGGTAACCGCTACAGAAAAACAGAACAAATTACAGTAAATCACAACAAACCGTGGAAGTGGGACAATTTTTGTATTTTTACTGTAAGACATGCAGAACATGTACGAAATCCATACAGAAGTGTGTGTGTATTCTATACTTTTGAAACAACTAAATCAGACTTCGGAAAATTTGACAGTATTAAAGCTACTTTTGAGAATTTAGATTTTAGGTCTTTGTTTTACATGTACCCAGTAAATATTTTTGAGGTTTGAACTTTGATTCTCACAAGCTTACAATTTGTTTACAATTTATCTCTGGCTCTGCCGTGCTGCACGGCAGAGTTGATCGGAATTGTAACAAATACGCGTACACTTGAATGGCTTCCTGAATTTAGTCAATCAGATGTGTAAAAATTACTCGTTTCAATTTTATGTTTATGCTCGAAACTGCTCATGTTTACAATAGCAATTCTAACAATCTTGCCCTCCTTTTCGCCTTTGAGGCGTTGGTGTTGATTTATACACAAAATTCAAAACTCAAAAATATTTACTGGTCTGGGTACATGTAAAACGAAGACCTAAAATCTAAATTCCCAAAAGCAGCTTTAATACGGTCAAATTTTCCGAAGTCTGATTTAGTTGTTTCAAAAGTATAGAATATACACACACTTCTGTATGGATTTCGTACATGTTCTACATGTCTTACAGTAAAACAGTACATGTCTTTCCGCGGTTTGTTGTGATTTAGTTAATACTGTAATTTGTTCTGTTTTTCTGTAGCGATTACCGATTTATCGGCAAATACCGCGATTTGAAAACTTACTTTTCTTTATTTATTTCATTCTACAGCATTTATAGTTCTACAGCTATCTTATACAGTTTTATAATATTGTGAATGATTCCGAATATTCAAAACGAATTGAAAGAATGAAAGCAGTAATGATGTACTGTATATTATAACGGTTTAAACTTAGCCGGCCGTACAGCTCACTGCCACCGGTCACTGAGCCGAAGGATAAACCGAAAATTCACTTTTCTCATCACAAGATTTAATGTTCAGTCGATCCGCTACATTGAAAGATGAGTATACTTGGCTATTTTTTGGCAGGGGTAACGAAATATATCGGCTGTTCTCTACAGTAAGTTTTTCTTTATGTGTTGCCCATCGGAATATAATATAACTACATAAGCTTGATAGATGTAAGATAACGAGTTTCACAATCCCATTTTAAATACTATCGCTTTTGGCAGCCTGGTTTTGCATCATATGTGTTTTTCAGTAAAAGCCCCATTTTCCTACTTCCCCAACGTGTAATACGCGAAAAAAACTTTGTTAATAATAACAAAAAATTGTAATAGTAAACAGTGTATTTTATTATAAAGGATTTTCGTTTTTCTACTGCTCCGTACTTCGTGTGCTCCGTGCTCCGTGTGCTCCGTACTCCGTGTGCTCCGTGCTCCGTGTGCTCCGTGCTCCGTGTGCTCCGTGTGCTCCGTGTGCTCCGTGCTCCGTGCTCCGTGCTCCGTGTTTTACTAATAGCCTGAGTTATTTAGTATTATGATTATATCCAAGACAAGCTGCAGTGTATGGTAAATATAAATAGGAATGTTCACAAATTCCTCGCTTAGCAGCGTCATGTTGTCTAACAGCCTAAACAATAAGTGTTATATTGAACAAACTGGACAACATTTGTTGATTAATATATGGTCGATATTAGCTGAGATATAGAGTACGACTTAATATTACTTTTGACCTAATTTCATGCTACTTTCATCGCGCTAAATGTAATGTGTGTCTGACTTCAAAACGACGTCAAGCTGGTATAGAAAGCATCTGCTACATGCAATATATTGACTAAGCGATCAATTTTAATGGCCGGATTTAATACTAAATATATATGTCTTTATTCAGTACTAAATATATGTGACCAGCTGTCTTCTATACGATTTAACAAGAACAAAGTTTTTAAAATTAAAATTTTGGAAAACAAGTCGACTCAAATCTTTATTTGCATTATTTATGGTTGGATGATTCTGTACTTGTTACTGTTTATATTTCAACGGCGAATTCAATTAATTCATTAGCCTAAATCAATTGCCTCGTATTATATCAGCATCTTTTGAAAATCTTGCTTTCGTAAGAAAGACAGTTACTTATGGATTATATTACACACCAGAAATCTCACAAGCCTGTCGCAAGTTGTTGATTTTATATGGTGGTAGCCAAGGTCCAAACTTTTTATCTTTGTTGTTATCTATTGCACATTCTGTAATAGTTGCAGGATGTGCAGTATTACAGGATGTGCAATAGATAACAACAAAGATAAAAGGTTTGGACCATGGCTACCACCAAAGGAAGAACCTGACGAGCAAACAACCCGTAGAATAAGTTCTTTGAATGTTTGCATGGCGATAAAATATATAATTGTTTTTGTTTGTGGAAACACCACGTAAATTTATTACTGCAAAGCTTTCGATCCGTAAGCCCGGATCTTCATCAGTGCTAATAATATGTGACTTGTTTAATTCGCACGCTCTTTTTATATACAAGAGTGTCGTGATCTGTTGGCGGCTCGCGTCTTTTGAAATTTAATTAAACGGCACATCAACCACATCATTTCAAACATAGTGAAGTGATTCCAATTAACGCGTGCGCATCCAAGACAAGAGAAATTAATTTTGCACATTAAAGAGAGCACAGCACGTACTATCTAGTGGCTTTCCCTCCTGATCTATTGATGTGCCGTTTAATTAAATTTCAAAAGACGCGAGCCGCCAACAGCACGACACTCTTGTATATAAAAAGAGCGTGTGAATTAAACAAGTCACATATTATTAGCACTGATGAAGATCCGGGCTTACGGATCGAAAGCTTTGCAGTAATAAATTTACGTGGTTTTACTCTGAGTGCATATCCACACCGGGCGAGCTTGAAAAATATGCCCGGCCACGGTGGAATTCGAACCTACGACCTTTGGAATACTAGCCCAATGCTCTTCCAACTGAGCTACGTGGCCAGGACGGTTCGAGTAAGTGATATTTCAGAACAGAATCTAGTTCCTTCAATACCAATGTATTTACATTACATACATACAAATATCATATTCACCTGAGTACACTACACCAACACAGAAAAAATTTACGTGGTGTTTCCACAAACAAAAACAATTAACCCGTAGAATGTTTACTATAGCTATGAAAGTAATCCTCTTATTTATCATGGAGAACCACATGTATACCTTTGACAACGAGATTAAGCTGCAGTCCAGGGGCGGCCCCATTGGTCTCCAACTAACTGGATATAAATTAAATCCGGTGGTATAACCATAGATCATAAAATACATGGATAGGCAACTAGCTGACGTGACCTAATGTTTTCAATGGGATGATGGCGTTGCAACCTAGTTGCAAACCAAATTCTCAAAAACGGCATGTTTAGCGATAATACAGCTAAACATTTTAGTCAAAGAGCAAATAAACATGACTAAGCCATTCTACGATGAAATCTTTAAGTATTCCCGGTCAATTTTAGCATATTTTTCAAGCACTAAACACTGAAAAATGCATCGCAAATTTCGTAAAAATTGGCGACGCCAATTTCGTAGCTACACTAATGTTAAAAAATACAAAACAAAGACGAAAAACACTTACCTTGAATACTTTGTCGTGGCTTAGGCATGTTTTTAAACCAATTAGACCAGTTTATGCTGCGTTGGCCGCTACTTTGGCAGTAAGTGTAATCCACGTTATGAAACGTGAGCAATTACGTTTAATAATTTTGAGCGACTTGTCAACGATGCAATTTCGCTTGATTTTCAAAGACAAAGGCCATAAATTGCTAGAATACTGTTGTTTAGTAATACATTTGACATGCGTATAATTAGTACAATTTCTAACGCTGAATCAAGCGATGGTATTTTTATCCTTATTGCGCCATTAGGCATTTGTACAAAACACTATGAAACGTACTGCGAGTGATTTGTCAACAATACGTACTGCGAGTAATTTGTCAACAATACGTACTGAGAGCGAGTCAACAATACAATTTGACCAATTTCGCCTGTTTTTCAAAGGCCATAAATCGCTAGAATTGTGGTGTTTAGTAATATATTTGACATCCATAAGTACAATTTCCTACTCTGAATCGAACGGTGTCGCTTTCTTCTCAAAATATAAAGCAGCGCAGCCAAACGTATAAAACTTGCGATTTGCGAAGGTTGCTGTTTCCGTGCGAAATTCCTTGTAAAATTGTTCAATTTTCCCGAAGTTTCCTCAAAATGCAGGGTTATTTATTGATAATTTGGGTAAAATTGGCAGGAGCGCTAGCCTTATGGATAATTGGGGGGAAATTAGGCAGCTCATTAATATTCTATTTTGTAGCTTTCGACGATTGGAGATTGCCGTACAGGTGCCCCAGCGAGAAACAAACGTTATCAGTTATAGCATATTTTATCAGAGCGGACTTCTACTCAGTGCCAACTTTGCGGCGGTCACTAGCTCGAAGCCTATAAGAAAGTATTTATTCTGCTACGTTGAAAATCGAGTTATGATGCCCTGATAGATCCATTGTACATTAGTCACTCCGACCGTGTTGATGGCATTTCAGCCAAAAATTCTCACTACTTTCATTGACAATTGAACGATTTATTCACACATTTTCCAAGACGTAACTGAACCAAAGGTATGTTTCAATATTTCCAACGGCACTTTTTTGTTCCCTTACCAATTTACGACATTAACGTGCACGTTAATAGATCAGGAGGGTGAGGAAAAATACTTTAACGAGCGGCGCGGTTACAAAATTTGAAAAATTCAAATTTTAACGGTTTGGTTCCAGAGCAGATCGACTCACGAGTGCGGAGAAAGTGCTTTTGTTTACATTAAGTTGTTCTAATTCTTCAAGGAAAAGCGAGGGAAAGGATTTCACAAGTTAGGAAGATTGAATAAACATAAATATGTGTAGCCGTTGCTTTAGAAGCGTTTGGCAATATTTTAACGGCGAGTTTTGTTGACATTTATGTCTCGCCCAAGTTCGCCCGGTGTTACAGCTACCTACCTTTGCGTTATTGATAGTGGGTAATACTAGATGATGGATAATATCGGCCGGGTTCAACGAAATGGCCTGAAAATCGACGAGTGTGAAGTAAATGACACAGTAAACAAGTAAGTCCGCCAATATTTTGAATCAGAGAGCATTTAGACATTTTTTTACAATATTTTACAATATATAAAGTGTATATATAATATCGCATTCTCATGATGTTTTTATGTCATTATATCAAACTAAAACCATCCCCAAATCACACTTAACGCATAAATGAAACTAAGTAAGTTATACTTTATAATTTAAAGGTATATTTAATGCAAAATATAATAAAATTAAAAATAAATAAATACCCACACAGAGCCTGGGTCACCTGTGTTTACGAGAGATAAATAATTATAAAATATTTAAAATTTTTTACCAATTTACGAGAGATAAAATATTTTCGAAGTTTATGTATTCGCGACTAAAAAGCTTGCAATACTGACGTCTTCGTTTTGTAATGCATAAGTTCAATTTTGTTTTCAATCGCTATTCATTCAATTTATATGAAAACCTCGTTTTCAATATTAGTTTTGTTAGACCCATCTGCGTGGAATGCATCGCTAAAATCAATCCAAGGGGGGGGGGGGGCGGTGTGGTGTGGTGGTGGTACTATGCAGAATACCAATATACTCCATATTATTGACTTGATATACCAATATACCTAAAACCAAGGCTTTGTCCGTCTGCCTGAATCAAGTAAATCTTGGGTAAATATATAGCTTGCGCTATAACCCCTATATCATGTACAGAAACTTTGATCAGTGTAAATCAGGCTTTACAACGTGTTAAAATGTTGGCTAGTCAGGACAGCTGAAGACGTTCATCTCTACTAGCACTACGTTGACATATAATGAAACGAATGGGCATTAGCTTCTCTGATATTAGCCAGTTGACCATCATATGATGCACGATAGTGCTCAGTGACACGTATAGTACGGCCGTATTTCAACATTACAGAAACGTTAACTATCTCTGAGTGATCAAATCATATTGGTCTACTAATTAACAATAGAATACTTCTATACCAAGAGTAACATTCAGACGTAAATACCAATATACCTGAACCCCCCGGTCTGATCGCTCGGATAAGCAGATGGAATGAGTTTGCGTGGGCTAGGTCATAGCGACTTTTACAAAACAGCTTGTCACTGAATGGTCTGCGAGAAAGCATTTTTTGACGTCTTCTGATAGATATATTTCTAACATTGTGGAGACTGACGGTGAGTTATTTAGTATTATGATTATATCCAAGATAAGCTGCAGTGTATGGTAAATATAAATAGGAATGTATCACAAATTCCTCGCTTAGCAGCGTCATGTTGTCTAACAGCCTAAACAATAAGTGTTATATTGAACAAAACTGGACAACATTTGTTGATTAATACATGGACATGGTCGATATTAGCTGAGATATAGAGTACGACTTAATATTACTTTTGACCTATATTTCATGCTACTTTCATCGCGCTAAATGTAATGTGTGTCTGACTTCAATTTTAATGGCCGGATTTAATACTAAATATATATGTCTTTATTCAGTACTAAATATATGTGACCAGCTGTCTTCTATACGATTTAACAAGAACAAAGTTTTTAAAATTAAAATTTTGGAAAACAAGTCGACCCATCTTTACTTGCATTATTGTATGGTTGGATGATTCTGTACTCAGTGTCACTGTTTATATTTCAACGGCGAATTCAATTAATTAATTAGCCTAAATCAGTTGCCTCGTATTATATCCTGGCATATTACCGTGTAAATGACACTGGCAAGGCATGCTGCAAGTGCTTACAGCTGCCTAATGTACCTCCTAATTTTGCGAAAAGAATGCAAAAAATGCGGTCAAAATAGATATACCACTGAACAGGTATACAGTAGCTACTCTATATGAAAAGTTAAATCTGAAAACATATACAAAACCATTTTTTCTTCGAGGTGAAAAATATTACTTTTGAAAGTGTTTGAAATATACCCGCCTATCGTATAACGCAATATACACATAATTATAGTTACTTTAAACAAAATTATTTTCAGAAATAGCTGGGAATGCACTTTTCGGGTTTGTAATTTCCAAAATGTTCGGGGAGGTGGGAGGGGGAGGGAGCGTGGCAATGCATCAAAATTAAGCCTAACGAAGACAGTGGTCACAATCAGCATCTTTTGAAAACCTCGCTTTCGTAAGAAAGACTGTTACTTATGGATTATATTACACACCAGAAATCTCACAAGCCTGTCGCAAGTTGTTGATTTTATACCGG